CAAATGAGGAAGCAGTAACACAGTATAAAGTCTTCCAAGTCTTGTGAAGGACAAAAATGATCATTTCAGTTCATAAATTCACAGTGATTGGACAACTGAAACTTTTGACTGTGAACTCCACTGTGCTTTCTTCAGATGTTGCATCATCCCCTACTTTCATCACTTACTCATATTTATATGCCCTACATTTATTCCACACACACTTTCCATGCTATTGGCACATCCGATACTTTCCTGTATCAAACAACCACCTTAAACAGCTGTGCTCAAGCTCTGCTGTGCTTCTAGTGGTGCACCGCACTCAGATTATATGCTTTATTTGTTTGTGTTTGGTTTTGTGATCAGTGCTCTGGTTCAGAATCAGTGGATGCTGTGATTCAGTAAATCCAGCTGAAAGGGGACTTTTTTTGCCTCCCAGATTAAAGACTTTAATGAAAGCCCCAAAAAGTTGATTCTGTTCATCTGGACATACCAATTTTTGGCGCAGCGTGTTTTGGGGTTTAAAAGCCACAGAGACGCAGTGTTTAGAGAAAATGCGTCTCAGCTGTTCCGATACTCCTGACACAAATGGGATCACTACAGTTTTTCACTTAGGCAGCGCTTGTCCTTCTCTCCTGGATCAGCTGGAGCTTTCTTTAGGTGCCTTCCCAGCTTTGACAAATGTCTAGCTGGGATAACCACATTTACTCAGGGCCTTCTTGATGTAATGTTTTTCTGCTTCCCTGGACGCTGTGTCTGTGGGGATGGTGTTTACTCTGTGTTGTAGCGTCCTGGTGACTTTTTGGGCTTCACTTGCCTGGATGATTGAGCATGCATCAAGACACTTTAATGAAAGGCAACCCAACAAACCTGTTGGTGACATTAACCTGTGATCTGAGGAAGAGACTGAACTCAAACTGTGGAAGAAGTTTGTTTTGAGTTTTCTTCGTTCTTTGCAAACATTCTGACCTGCTGTGTTTCTGAATCACTCAATAAATCTGTTCAACTTCTCCAGTGTGTCTGTGTTTGAGTGCTTTGAATGACAACAACAACACAGTATCATGTTAAACAAATACACCTGACTTAATGACTAACCCACCAAAACCTAAATGACTGCAAATTAACTCTGCTGATATGTAGCAGCTAAGCTTGGTAAGGGAATAACTAAACTCCATGTTGACCTATAATAACCTGCAACATAATGAAATGACACATTTCAGTAGAAACACTGAATGAGACTGTTGTGACTGTACCTGCAGCTCCCGTCTTCACCTCAGAGTAAACAGCACTCTGCTCTGGTTCATGATGCTTCCCTGTGAAGATGATCAGGTTATTTGACACAAGAAAATAATTTTTTTTAATCTTTATTTTTTGTATTTTTACATTATATTTACAGTTATTGTTTTTAAACTGCATGTGTTTTATGTACTCACTCTTCTTTCCAAAGGTTTTAAATTTAATAAGAGCGTATGTGACATCTTGATGTTCATCTAATCCTGAAATGTTCATATTTTAGTTACAGGATTGTAAACATGTCACATGGAATTAGTTTCATTAAATCAAAAACAAGTTTCATCTGTAACTGCTCTGTGCTTTTCAACACATATACTGCACCATTTCTGTTGTCTTCGACATGAGAAACTGATTCGTAGATGTGATTAGTACCTAAAAAAAGACGAACCAGGGTCACATTAATCATTTTAATAAAAACATAAAAAAGAGATTAAATATTTCTGTTCATGATATTTTCGGACCATGAACCCATAAAGTTGTTACTGTTTGTGTTGTTATGATATTAAACAACAACATTGTGGATTCTTTCAGTCGACTTAAAGACACAATCAGGTTGTAAAATCCTGTTTATTTCTCATTTTATGTTCATGTGTCAGCTGGCTGTTTGGATGTTTGTTCCACTGGATTTTGACGAACGTTCTTTGAAAAGCTGCTGAGCACAAAATTAACCCTCAAAACTGTTCCTGTTAATGAAGACTGATTTAAAAGTCAATATTAATAATGATGATAATAAAGATCGGTAAAATGCTGACCGTATTGAACATAGCCGTACTCATGAGTTTCATTCTGGTTGACTCCATGATTTGTGGAGGAGCCCGGACTGTGACTCTCAGACTGGATCGACCTAAAACAGGAAATAAACACAATAAACTCAAAAGTAACTGATGTTTGTTTAAAATAATAATAAAAAGTATTTTACCAACCTGGTGAAGCAGGAATCTGTGAAAGAGACAAATGTTATTACACATGTTTGTCATGTATAAATTGTTCCACTGATATTTTGTGTCATGAGATCAGAATACATGTATATGTGTGAATAATTAAAGTGTATGTAGCAAATAAACTCTCTAATACAGCATGAAAAGAAGAGGCTCTTACACTTGGACTGTCTGCAGCGATACAACAAGAGCAGGAGAATAATAATGAGAGAGACTCCACAAACCAGTCCAACCATCAGCCACACAGGAGATGAAGAGCTGTCAGCTCCAGACACAGTTACTGTAACAACAAACAATAATTAATTATTAATAAAGTATAAAACAAACACTCTGAGAGCACAAATCTCTGCTAAGGCAGCTCACTCTGTTGACAGTATTTGCTTTTAAGGGAACACTATTGCATTTTCTATGTATTTATTTATTCTATGTAGTGCAGCCACTTTATGAACACTCTCTGTCTTGTCACATTCCCTCAGATTTCCTGCCCTAACTGCTCTCTCCTCTCCCACAGATCTGCCGCCCTCACACTGTTATGTCCGCTCCTCTGGCCTGTCTCTCTCACCTCAGTTAAGATGTTTTTGTAGGACTCGCTCCTTAAGTTTAAGTTCATTTATGTTTTGTTCTTGTTGACCAAGTCGAAGCTTGCAAAATGTTGCGTTAAATGAATGAACCTTTGTTTGATGAAGAAACTTTCACTCATTACTTCCTGCACTTGAGTCCTGAATCACAACAATATTAAACCTGACAATATACAGATATTACAAAATATTACAAAAAGTTCTGACAAAATAGATCCAGGTGACTTCAAGCCTTTAAACAGACAATCTAATGTTCCTTCTCAAGCATGAAATCCATTAAAATCCATCAAATGTTTTGATCCTGCTCACCTTTAACTGACATCCAGCTCTGTGCTGACTCTCTTCCTGAGTACTGACACTTGTAGAAACCTTCATCAGACTTTGACACTGCAGAGATCTTCAGCTCTACTCGGGTATCATTTTGAATAAGTTTGTCATTGTGATAGAAAAACACATTGGAAAGTATTTTTTGTGTTCTCAAACTGCAGCTCAGATTAACAGAAGCTCCCTCAGTCACAGGATGAAGAGGACTCACCAGGATAGGAACATCACCATCTGTGAAACAACCACACACAATTGTTTCAGTCACATCAGCTGGTGCACACTGTTAGAAAAAGCTGAGACATAATAACAAGGATGGATTACAGAAATGCTTTTTATGATGAAGATCTGATCTTGTATTTAAAATCTACTGTATATGTCCTATTTTTACCAAATAATTTCTATAGTACTTGTTTTGAATTGCTATTTGCAAAATAAAAAGTTAATCTCTTAAGGTCTCGGTTATTGTTTACATAACATGAATGAAGCACAACAAATGCTACATTAATGTAGTCACAGTAGTGCCATACGTCTCCTCAGTAAATGTGCTCCACCCAGAAAGGTCACATGTGAACACAAAATCTTCACTCAACCAAACCTCATTACAATGAAGAAAAATATGAGACTGAGTTCTCTTTAGAAAGTGTGATGGTGGAAGTTTTAACCGGGACTGTGATGATGATGATGATGATAATGATGATGATGATGATGATGAGTTAAGGTATGGCTTGTTCACTTTAGAGAGGATGAGAACATGTTTATTACAGTATGTTGATGCGCAACCGATTTTTAGCTTTTAAAAACTGAACAAATCTGTAAAGAAAAAAACAACCAAACATTTAAAGTATTTCAAATTCCATTTGCTGCAAAGCCGAAAAGGTTTCCACTCCACAATCTGAAATGCACATGTTTCACAAGCATCTGACTAAATTAGATGATGATATTCATGTTTATATGTGACTGCTCTAGTAGCGAGGTGTGGTTTCAGCACAGCTGCACGAGGAGAGGTGGGGCAGAATAGATCTGCACTGAGGAGATCTGACACACAGCATGATCTTTGACACCACTGCACTTTTTTACATGATTATCTTTACGAATAACACTTTGATGACAGAGTTGTTGAGATTTTTAGTGGTTTAAATACAAAAGAGAAAATATGAAAACAACTTTTTGCTAAAAATCATTTATAAAAATCCATCAAATGTTTTGATCCTGCTCACCTTTAACTGACATCCAGCTCTGTGCTGACTCTCTTCCTGAGTACTGACACTTGTAGAAACCTTCATCAGACTTTGACACTGCAGAGATCTTCAGCTCTACTCGGGTATCATTTTGAATAAGTTTGTCATTGTGATAGAAAAACACATTGGAAAGTATTTTTTGTGTTCTCAAACTGCAGCTCAGACTAACAGAAGCTCCCTCAGTCACAGGATGAACAGGACTCACCAGGATAGGACCGTTACCATCATCTGTGACACAATCACACACAATTGTTTCAGTCACATCAGCTGGTGCAAAACTTTGAGAAAAAGCTGTGAGTCGTGTCTCATGATCTACATGCAGACCTGGCTTCAGAGAGATTTTCTGAGAGCCTGGTTTTAATGACTGGAGAGACGTTTGAACAAGTGACAACATTTCAGTGCTTAGATGTTCAGTTACAGTGGGTTCATCATGTGGACCATCAACACTTCGTGTCGTCAGCACTTGCATTTTTGTTAGAAGGCTGAGGGTCCATGGAGTGTATAATTGCATCATGTTACTATTTTATGTGGAGATTGTTGAATCTGCTATTTGTGATATCACTACATGTTTTGGCAAACTTTCTGTCAAGCTCAGATCCCAAATTCAAAATTTGATTAAGAGGACTGGAAATATAGTTGGGATGCTCCCTTCATCCTCCCTGCAGGAGTCAAATTATTAACAGTGACATAATTTAATGGTTATACTTGAAATTGTAAACATTTGTATGTTTGTCTTATTTTGCATCACGTGTTTGCCTGAATTTTTCTGAATGGAGACAATAAAAGTTCATCTAATCTGATGACCGAGATGTTGAGCTTTGTAGAGTTTTATTCTGACACAGATCATATAAAATTACTGTCTGCAAATTTTTACAAACGTAATTATGAAAAAATAGAATGAAATGAGACCAACAAATTAGAATATTTTGATGCTTTTCTGTCTAAAATTGTCAGAATTTTGTTTGTTTTGCCACATAGAATTACTTCACATACAGCAAAGCTGAGACAAATGTTCATGTGACGTCTAAATCATTCAGATCCAAGAAGTAAATGTATAATAACATACTCTGTACAGTGATGTTGACTGCACTGCTGAACTCTCCCGATCCAGACTCACACCAGTACACTCCAGTATCTGACTTTGATGTGTGGATGTTACATGTGGATCCAGTCATTCTCTCACAGTTATAATAATATAAAGGATCACTCTGGGGAACAGTCATCACTCTCCACTCAGTGAAGTTTCCCTCACAGGTCAGTGAGACAGAGTCAGAGGTGAAGTGTTGCACTCTGTCAGGACTCACTGTGAGAGACGCTGCTGAATGAACATCTGGAAACAACATGCAGTGAAGAGACAAAGCTCACAGATGTTAGGATTCAAAATATCACAGTGAAAATATTTGTTTGTTTGACGCTTTTGTTTTGAAAATCAAATTTAATAGTTCAATATGATAAAGTGTTTGTTTGGTGAGACAACACTGAGTCTGACAACAAGCCCTGAATCACACAGACAGTCAAATCAATGGAAAACAAAGGAGCCGAATACTGACATGTTTAAGATGATCTAACCCACATGCTTTATCTGCTGGCAGCTCATGTAGAGCTTGGTACAGGTCATGTGACATCATGAGCTTTGAGTCATCACTCTCAGCATCATCCACCTGATACAGATCACTCTGAACACACTTCAGTCATTTGCTGTAATGTTTCTGTCATAATTCTGTGATATTGTCTGTTTCACAGATTCCTTCTACAGTGAGATATTTTGCAGCAGCAGGACCAAAACTAAAAACCTTTGAAGTATATTTTAAATGAACAATAACAGCAGCTGTTATTTGTGACGTCTTCTTCTAGCATCCATCTGTAGTCAGTGTTTGTCTTGTATTTGTCAGAGCTGTTAACCTGCCTGCTGACATCTTTGTTTCTTTATTAACTATATTTGACTTTTTATCTGAGCACCTACCTGAGCATTAAACAAAGAGTCTTAACTGTGTAAATCCTGTCTGTGCACTAAGTAAAAATAATCAGTACAAACAGTATGTACACAGACATCAATAGTTGTCATGGAGATGAGATTTTAATGGTCTAAATCTTGGTGAATAAAAATGATGACCTAACATGAGCTCATTGAAAGGACAGAGAGAAACAAACTGACCTGCAGACCAGACAAACTTTGGTTGACTGTGATCAGTGTGATACTCTGGGTCTCCTCTTCCAGCTCTGCACACATATCCTGCTGTGTGTGTCTGTCCATGAATGATGTAGGAGTCCTGTGCAGTCCCACTGCCATCAGGTAGCAGCTCATAACTGGAGGATTCCTCTGATAGATCAGGAACAGCTTTATACCAGTAGAAGCTCCATCCTGCAGACGGATGTTCAACCTCACAGTTCAGAGTTACTGAGGCTCCAGGACTCAGCCATGATGGAGACACAGTGAGGACAGGACGGGGTTCATCTGTTCAACAAAGATTTTATCTCAGTGAACATGTAGTACAGTCTCTGAACAGTGAGCTCAGTTTATACAAAGAATAATAATCTCAGTCTATATGAACAGAAACACATTTTACAAAGTGTTCAAACAGCTTAAAGCAAATATGACTTACTGTCAGAAACTGTCAGTGTGACTGAATCACTCCACTCTGTTGTTTCATGCTGTGAACTTTTCATTCTGCCCTTACAGCGATAGTTTTCACTGTTGAATGATGAAGCAGAAATAATCCTGTATTCATTTTGATTTGGAAGTTTTCTGATGCTGTTTGTTTCCCACTCATAATCCCACTCAGTGTCTCCTCCATGGATCTCACATCTGACAGTGATCGTCTCTCCTCTGTATATCTCAGACCAGTTTGGATGCAGAGTCACAACAGACCTGTTTGACACTGTTAATGTTCAAGAAAGTACAATAAAAACACATGAATGACAAAAAGTTCAGTTACTATGAGATGTAGTGTTTTGTAGGAAGTTACATTTACACTCACCAGTTGTGTCAATCCAAACTGACTCACTCAACTCTGTGTAGTAAACTGGTTCTCCTCTTCCTCCTCTGCAGCTGTAGCGTCCTCCCTCTGAGACACTGATTTGTCCATTTGTCACAGGTTGATAAGATTTCCAATCTCTGTACCAGTAGTATTTCCATCCAAAAGATGATGATGATGGGCTCACAGAGCAGGTCAGGGTCACACTGCCCCCTACTGGAACAGCTGTCCTATCAGCTCTCAGTTCAGCCTTTGGTTTGGCTGCAGTTCAGTTTAGAACAAGAACATAAAAGTAAAAATGACTGAATCAGAACAATTTAAAGATGTAAATATATATATATATTGTCGCAGACGGTGAAGGCGCTACAGGGAAAACAAATCCTTTTTTGTCTCCCCGCTTTTGCATGCACAGCGGTGGGCCCGAAGGAATATGGAGTGCCAGGACTGCCACAATGAATTAATTAAATACACCATTAAATAATTAATTAAATGTGGCAATAATTAATTAAAATTGGAATTAATTAATTAAATAAATAGTTATGCCACATGTAATTAATTAATTATTGACACATTTAATTAATTATTTATGTATTTCACATTTTAATTAATTATTGACACATTTAATTAATTATTGACACATTTAATTAATTATTTAATGATATATTTATTTATTTCATTTTGGCAGTCCTGACGCCTGGCTCTCATCATGAAATAATTTTATCTGTCAGCCTCACCCATCAAACTCAGGGGGCGGGGTTAACGCTGCCCATGCAGCTTCTCTAACATTTGATTGGTTGCCGTGCAAAGTAAGTCAAAACAGGTCGATCCTAGATAATCGATTGCTTGTGTAGACTTGGGGCAGCCAGGTATCCCAGAATGCAGATCAAATCACAAGCAGCAATGGTGGTGGTGTAGTTTTAAAATACCCCGTTTTTCTGTCACCAGCTACACTTTTAACAGTGTTTTAGCCGCGAATGTCGCGACGTACGTCTGGTCAGGTTGTCAACATAGAACATGTTTGCAAAAGTGCTCAGATGTTTTCAGAGATTTCACTAGCTCTGCTAACAATTAGTATGCAGAGTGCACCCAGGGGGTTATGTTAACCGGTTTGTTTACATATTCCACTCTCCGTGTTCCACATGTTGCATTCGCAGATTCTCATTTTCACCGAACGATCGTCTCTTTCCGCCTGGTCTTGTGTCTCTGTGCTTCTGTAACATAAAGAACGAGCTGACATTTTTCTCACGAAACCAGCGATCAGCTCAACAGACCCTCAGTTTACCTGCATGCATCCTCCTCCTCATCTGTCAGCTGTTTAACACCTGCTGCTAATTCAAGAAACACGCCTAGTTACCTGGTGATAGTAACTGGGCAGCCGGTACTCGATATAAAGCAATGTCAGCGCATTTTTCTGCACAAGATAAGTAAATATAGTGTTTTCCCCGAGCGCAGAGCTGCTGGAGCTCGTTTCCTTACAGAGCACTTTATAGGCGAACAGCTTTATCAGCGGCTGATGTCCAATCACCGGCGCACAGCTTTCAAACCTCAGCTGAGTTTTAGCTCTCAGTGGTTAAACGCTGGACTTCATTCACTCAGGTTCTGTCTGTCAGGTCACGTTTACTTCGCTGTTTTATTTACAACTGAGCAAATCGGTTTGGCTGAGGTTAAAGTTACGTTTCATAACTGCATAGTTTCACAGACGTTTAATGGTTCAGTGGCACATGTGTTAGACTGAACTATCAGCTAAATATCATCTGTTTTTTAATAGTTATTCAACTGTATTCTAAGCACCAGCTGTCTGTTAGAATGTGATTTTTTTTCTCTCTCTGTTGGCAGAGGTATAAAAATGCGCAGGAAAATCTGACGTGCATGGCAAACTTCACCGACGATATTTAGGGAGGAATAAACACACGTCAAACATAAATGAACCATTTGTCTGTCTCCATAATTGAGAGCATTTTCTCTTATGTCAACACTCTCTCTCTCTTTTTTTTTTTTTTTTTTTTTTTTTTGCTTTTTCGGTCATGTTATGTTTACCTGTCAAAGGCTTGTTACAAACTATGAAACACATCATGCAGACTTCTGGATGTTAGAAGAAAACGAATACTGCTCATGAAGGAGACTAAAGGCAGGAAGGTGTCCTTTAAAACTAAACATGTTAATAGGACCTCCCTATTTATATCATAGTTTATGATATAGCACATGTATTTCAGTAATAGCCTGCTGATTTCAGTGGTGAACAGTCACACAGCTCACGTGGGTGTTATCTGTGATACCCCTTAACTATAATTTATCCAAGTTAACTTCAGTTAACCATTCAGACGGTTCTTTTGCAATGAAAAACATAAACACCCATGCTGCCTGTAGGTTTCCTCAGTGCCAGCTGTTAACATTATAGCTGATTATGCAGTAACCATGGTAACCACGGACTCTGAGCGGCTGGATCGACGGAGGTCAGACAACAATTTTACATGTATGATCTTAAAACAGGACACAGCCACTATACGTGCTGGCCTCATATCAAATGTGAAGGCAGACTGAGTCTATGTTTGACGTTTTTTATATCTAATCTTCCTTTTCAAACATTTAAACAGCAGCGAGTCTGCAGCTGAGGGAATACAAACTCAGATTGTCGGAACAGGTTTGCTCGTTTCTTGGATTCATTTGGTGATTTATTAAATGTATAACTATTATTCTAATCTGCTGCTGGGTCTCTTACACTTTTCTTTATGCTGTATATTTTCACGTCTCTGGAATAGTTGGAAGTTAGATAGTCAGTTGAGAAACTTTGTGTTAACTCATGGAGCTGAGGATATCGTGGATATCGTGGATATGCTGACCTCGCTGCATGGTGTACAGAGCGAGGTCAGCATGATTAATATTCACAATAAAAATATTAGCCGAACATCATGAAGTCTGTATGTGTTTCATAGTGTCGAACAACCTTTGTACAGTTAAAGCCAGCAGTTACTACATGACGGAAACACCAACGTTATCTCTTTTATGCGTTTATACACAGGTCACACTGATTACTGAACAAAAACCCAAAGATCAGATGTTAAACAGATTTATTTGCTCTCTCTCCTCCTTAAACATGTTTTTAATGTTAGTTATAATTCAGAATTGGCGACTGAAACACGTAGGACACATAAGAACATCAGGAAATAAAACACCGATAAATATAACCTCAGTAAAAGAAGTCAGCGGGGTTACTACAGCTGTGTACCGGGGCCTGCGCTTTGTCGGTGGGATTGCTTGCGAGGCGAGCGGGTCTATCCCACGCTTTGCCGTGAGACTGGACAGACATCTCCGAAATCATCGAAGCACTTTTGCAAAGAGGCTGTATCTTGACAAACCGACCAGACACATGAAGATTAAACCACTACATTCTCGGCTAAAAAAATATTAAAACGGTATTTGGTGACACACAAACAGGGTTTTTCAAAGTTCAGTTCTGTTAGCTTCCACATGCCGGTTGTTGTGTGCTAGAAACAATGGCCACCAGGCCAAAGCAATGGTTTTGATTCGATCAGCGTTAACCCCGCCCCCTGAGTTTGATGGGTGAGGCTGACAGATAAAATTATTTCATGATGAGAGCCAGGCGCCAGGACTGCCAAAATGAAATAAATAAATATATCATTAAATAATTAATTAAATGTGTCAATAATTAATTAAATGTGTCGATAATTAATTAAATGTGTCAATAATTAATTAAAATGTGAAATACATAAATAATTAATTAAATGTGTCAATAATTAATTAATTACATGTGTCATAACTATTTATTTAATTAATTAATTCCAATTTTAATTAATTATTGCCACATTTAATTAATTATTTAATGGTGTATTTAATTAATTCATTATGGCAGTCCTGGCACTCCATATAGGAAGACGGCACTGAAGATTTGCCTTTTTCTATAGTGTTTTGCCCATTTGGAGTCATGTGTGAGTTGCCGTCCCTTTTTAACCTGTGTGCTATGTTGATTTGTTTTTAAACGGTTCCCCGCAGCGCTTGTCCTGTCTCACGGGCAATCATACAGTTTTATCATTTTTTAATAAGGTAAAGTTTTTAATTGTTTTTAGGTGCCGCTGTTACACTGTTTCTTTTATTTTGTATTAAAAATTAAACTCTTTTAAACTGACTGTGCGCCTACGGCTCTGTCCTATTTTAAATAGGTACCTACCACGGGTCACAAGCATCAAATAAATAAAGACATGAATGAGCAAAGCTACCATGTCTAGAGGAATGATGGCTTTTATGTATGTGCTCATGTTCTAAAACCAAACCAATATATCACTACTGGTGCCCACAAATCTGGGAACCACCAAATCTGCTGTCAGCTAGTGATGGCCAAATGAAGCTTTCTGAAGCACTGAAGCTTGTATTGAAAAACGGTTCATTACTCGAAGCTTTTCAACACAGTCCTCTCTGGTGGCCAAAAATATGAAGTGCAGCTTGAATCCACAAAATAAAACCAACCGCTTCATAATGATTGCCCACTCTACAGAGTGGAATTCTGTCTGATATTGGGCCGCTGTTGTGTTGCTTTGAACGTGTATTTTTTGGTGGTTAAAAAAATGTGTTTTATTTGTTTAATAAATAGTTTTGACCAGTAAACTCTCCTTGTTTAAATATGCACCATGGTGTGGTCTTTCTTTGCTTGTGACTTCTTGATGTTGGTAAATACAATAATTGAAAAATACCACGT